CTAACAAAAGTTTATTTTGCTTCTCCTTTGACAACATCCATGTTCCCGTTTAGATACTTGTCTATCTGATATGACTGTCATGTATGTGATTTATCATAGCACTGGCAGATAACTTGCTGTAAGAATCTTTCACACATGGAGTCTTGCATAAAGTATTCACATTTTTTTTCATATATGATTCTGAGGACCATGCTCCAATTTGAGCTCTCTCTTTTCTTGTAAGCATTGTGTAGAAAAGCCTTTGCCACTGAAAGCAATTTTCTCCTAATGTTTAAATGAGGAGAGTGGACAAGGCAACACTTTTCTTCCTCATAACAATTCATCAGGTGCTGGTCTGTACGTGGTTCCGTGAAATAAACTCTTAACAATGCAATGGACAACAACCCTTGGCCTCCAGAACTTCCAAGTCTACCTTCATCCCAACATGTACCCTATATACTGGTACTTTTGTGAAAAAACAAAACAAACCAAAACCACAGTGTATTTTTAATGTGTAGGCTTGTAATTTCTCTTTCTGAAGACTACTTTAGTGGAAGCAATAATCTCATTAATACTAAAACCATTGGGTTTTTTCTTTCTTAACTCCTTTGATCCTTTAATCTTATCCTCTTGGCTACCTCACTCTGCCTTCCTTTTGTCTGCTCACAGCTCCTTGTCTTCCATTACATCCTTCCCATTCTATACCCCGGGTCTGAAAACCCGATAGGCTCCTGGATCTCAACAGGAGAAAACAGCTGCTGATTCTTCCTGCCTTCTTCTTGCTCAGTCCTGTGAGCCCCACTTCTGCCTCCTCACCTATTTCTCTAGCTTACTCTCTTTTTGGACTATTATCAGCAAAACCCAACTAGGAAGAGTGTGGGTGAAGTTATGGACGTTTCACAGGATCTAGGGGTGGGGTCTGTAGCCTTGAAGCTAATATCACAATAAGATGCATGGGCAGATGTTTCACGCAGGAATTATACATTCTTGGATTTTAAAATACAGTCTTGTACTCTGAAGATGAACATTAGCTAATCAGAGGATAGAGACAACACAGAAGATGCATTTAACTCCCCTTTCCTTTTCTATTGGTAAATGAACCCATTATTTTTATGATTGTGCATATTCCACAATTAGCTTCGCTAGTGCAGACTTGGAATGAAAAACAACATGGATTAAATAATACTCTGGTTAATTGGACAAACATGAATATGTCATTGTCTTTGATCATCTTGAACTCCACTAATGACAATGAGATGGTTGAATATCGTTAATGACTATCAACAAATAAGGGGATGAGTGTTTCATAGATTGATTTCTTAACTATTCATATACAGGTGCGAGGGTATGGGAGGGTTAAGTTTCGAGTTTCCATCAAATCACTGTAATCTGACCCTAGTCCTCAAATGACTATAATGCCAGAAGTTTCTTGGTGAAATACAACTCACTGTGAATTCTGATTACATTTCCTATTCCCTTCCAAAAAACAGAGAGGAAATTAAGTTATCTTTGATTACATTACAAAAATCCAATTGGTGTCTGGGCAGTCATGACCATGTTAGAAGCCAAATGTACTGTTGTACAGAGGCAGGCTCTGGGCTACTGAGCTCTGGACATGGCTTTGCCCTCTTATTCTTGAGCCCAGCAATTTGTAAGCATCAGGAGAGAGTTAAAAGAACACAAATGTACCTATGTGTTTTCATTATGAACAAGGCAAAATATATTTTGTTTATGTGGAATAAATAGAAAATCACATCCTTTGAAACATGAGTGCATTTGTTTCTTCCTCACAGTAATGTTACCAATTTCAATATATCAAGTTTCTTAAACTTTAACTTGGAACTCAACTTTCACTCCGTGAAGCCAAGTCCATACGGGAGGAGCAAAGTAAACCAGCAATCTATTTCAGTAGTTCTCAATCATTTTTCGTTCATAGACCACTTTGTTAATGTCATAGAACACTAAAAATTTTAATTTCTCAAATACATTGTGCATACAATCATCTGACGATTTTGTTAAAATGAAGCATCTGATTAAGACAGAGATGAGGCCCAAGGTTTTGCACATCTCAGGAGGCGTTGATGCTCTGGTCCATGGAACACAATGGAATAGCAGGGTTATATGGCATGTGGCCTCCTACCTTTATCTGCCCCAGATTGTCAGTAGACTTATTAGGCAGATGTGAGCTGTTTCAATTCAACAGTAACAAGGCAATCCCTGACTATTTCATATTCTAAGTATATTATTATTATATTGGAATGTAAAGTATGGATTTTGTTATTATTTCAGGTTTGAAAACAGTTCGGGAGAATACTTGCAGACCACCTGAAGCTATGCTGCAGGACATGAGTTTTCCCAATCTTCCCTTTAAGAAGCACTTAACTATATAATTAAACCAGTTAGAAAACAGCAATGCTTGGGTCCTGTTCGCAGAGATTCTGATCTTAATTGTTCTGTGTGCAGCCTAGGCTTCAGGGTCTCTAGAGGATTCTTCTTCGAAACTAGGGTTGAGAAGCCCCCCTTTAGAAGTTACGAGGCCAGGATGTGTAGGGGCAATGCCTTCACAGCCTCTGTAGGGTGCAGAGTGATTTTTAGAGGGTAAATGTACGATACAGGAAAAGAATAATGTGGAAAAAATAGAGTGTACTCGAGAGAGAGAAAAAGAGGAATCATTAGAAAAAGGGCTGGGGGAAGGTCTAAGGGTTGCTCCTGTCCGAGAAGAGCTGGGTAACCGAATGGGGGCCTCCCACAGGTCTCCGCCTCATCATTCCTCGTGTTGATATGGAAGTAGCACGAAGGCCAAATTTGGCATGGGAAATGAACGGAGGATGGAAAAGAATGCATGTTTGTAATGACCATTAAACTTAAAACCAACATTTTTGGTTTGGAGCTGCTTAAAGGAAGCAGAAGGAAAACTATTAAACGCTCTGAATCCAGGACAACAGTTAAAACTGTAAAGGGCTCACTGTGGCCCAACTTCCAATCTCGGTAAGAGGCGCCTTGGTACAACACAGCGTCTATGGTTGGTGGTGAAGTCTATGTTTATAATGCTTTTTGTCAAATCTTAATTCTTGTATCAAAGCAGCACACAAAAAATGTAGGTGAGAAAAAGTGGCACAGCACACACCACCAACACTCAAACCCCTTCCCCGGGATCTGAGTGCTCTGGGCAAAGGGACTCGACAGATGTCACGTAACAGCCTGCACTGGGCGCCGTGTGTCCATCCAGATGCCTCTGTGTGGACTTGAGAAGCGTTGCATGAAGTTAACCCTCGGCTTTTTCACAGGGAGCACATACTCATAAGGTTTCAAATGTAATTGTTTTTGTGAACCAGAAACCAAACACAAGAGACACCTGGTGAACAGCAAACATCTAGATGGTAAGAAACTAAATCTGAGCACCTTCATCAGAGAGGCACCACGTGGTTTCTCTTTCTTAAAGAGCTCACTTCTGTGTGTGTCCTGCTGTGATCCTGTTTCAGCTGATAGTGGTTTTTGGTTACAAACTCTTATCCTTCTATCTTCAGCCTACCTCACAGCTGTTTAAAGTTCCTCCTGGCCCTGCTATCATCTTGCTTTCAATTTAGCCACTAGACCCTGTGCCCTGACACAGACACCCAGCTGGAGAGGGTTCTGCTTCTTTCCTTCAGGGAGAGGCTCAAGTAACAAAGGAGCCCCGAGCCTGTGATGGCATCAAGGAGCTCCCGAAAATGCATCAGACCTACCCATGCCACGAAGGACTTGGGGGCAGTTTATCTATGGGCTGGTGAAAACCTAGGAAGTCATTTTTTTGACTGGAGAAAAAGCTTAAAATGATCTCAAGTACAGATTTGCTTTCATTAAAAGAAAAAAAGATCAAAGGAAGAAAGTATCATCTCCAAATCTCACGTCCCTCCTTCTCTTGTGTCACCTCAGTAAAAGGCATTAGCAGACGGCTATAATTATTAACCAATGGATTCTGTACAATGATTTCCAACTAGAGGCTGCAGTACTTGCCTTTCTTATGCGTGTATCTCCCGCATCATTCTAGACCAAGAAACCTGTCTTCTGTTCGACAGACGACGACCTCCAGTGTAAAGAAGATGAAAGCATGTGTTCTGCATGTGTACACCATGAACCATGTGACACACTGTGAACATCTACACCTTCTGATGAGATCAAGACGTATGGACCAGGCACTTGTGGCACAGTCTTGCCCAATAATCACTGTAACAATTGCTTACAACCCAAGCTCCAAAACATCTAGCTGGTACGAAAATTCTTTTTGTGAAGAATAACTAATTTTTATTTATTCAGAGGTTATGAATCAGCGGAAGGTGGAAACTCCTGATGGAAAAGTTGTGGATTCAGAGCAGGGACCACCAACCCCACCACGGTGTATGTTTGTGTGTGGCTGTGTGCGTATCTGTGAGATTGTGAGGATCTTTGTGTGGCCGTGTGTGGTGATGGGCAGGCTCTTGGTTTGTAGGTCTGTGCAGTGAGGCTTTAAGATATACTCTTAGATCTTAGGCTACTGATTTGAGGACCCCGATGTACACACAGAACTTGAAATATTAAGTCTTTGTTTTAACTCAGCAAATTTCATTACAAGGCAGCTCAGATAATCAAAAACAGAATAAATTGAAGATGTCAAGATGTCTAGATCGTGACATCCATTTTTCTACATAAAAGGAGAAAGTATTATTCCTGATTTGAATTCAGGAACTAAAATACTACAGGGGAATGTAGGACAAGATGCCGGAGGCAGATGTTTGTCCTGAGAGAGCAGCATACATCAGAGGCACTTTAACAGCAGGTTCTATGATTAAGGCTCAGCCCTGAAGCCCAAACTCCAACACTGTTCCTCCGGCACATATTGTCTAATGAGGACGTGAAGAATGCTTGCTCTGATGGAGCTCTTATTCACAATCTGTTTAGGTATGGCTCCCAACCAAGGAATTTACTAAAGTGATCAACTGGACATTTCAAAGGGCTTTCCCAAATTGACCCTGAGTATATTTTGCAATTTCAAGTATACGTACAGGGATTGAAGGCTTCGTAAATTCTGCAGAGCTTCCGTGGGTACCTGTCTTAGGTGATTATTCTGCAGCATACTGCAATTAAAACAAACAAAGACGTTAAAGAGAATTAGCAATAATTGAAAATGACCAGCCATAGCAGTGCCAGGCACTGTTCTAGGTGACGGGGGAACAGCAGAGCATCAGAGGAAACCTTGGCCCTTGGGGAGCTTACGTTCCTGTGAGGAGCGACAGATAACTACAAATTAACTACAAATTAACCAGTGACTACATAAGGTCAGACAGGTGACAGATACCATGAACGAAAAGCAAAACGTGGGTTTGGGACAGACAGTAACAGGGCAGTGAGTGAAGACACTGACTAGGTGACGCTTGAGCAGAGACTAGGATGGAGTCAGGGAGCGAATCACGGGAACATCTCGGAAGAGCAAGTGCAGAGGCGCTGAGGTGGGAGCTTGATGACCTGTGAGAGGAGCAGCTGAGTGTCCCTGGTGAGCCAGGGGGAGAGACGAGAGCGGGTGGGAGAGGAGAGCCGAGGGTCCCCGGTGACCGAGGGGGTGAGACGAGAGCGGGTGGGAGAGGGGAGCCGAGGGTCCCCAGTGACCGAGGGGCAGAGACGAGAGCGGGTGGGAGAGGGCAGGGAGGGGGTCTCGTGAGGACGCCGCAGGTCACCGTTAGGCTGTGTTTTCAGCGTGAAGAGGACTTTGTGGAAGGTTCACGTGGGGAATGACGGGATCTTGGCTATGCTTTGAAGGCTTGTGAAGGCTTGCTGTGGTGACTGTGATCAGACGAAACAGACATAAGGACAGCACTGGGAGGCTCGCACGCGCCTCGCACACTTGGACACGATTTAAATTCTTTCTGTGTAGTATTTGTGCTTTGTTTTCCTGGGTTCAACAGTCCTTTCAGAACATGGGGGCTACAGGATCAAAACACCTGGCAAGAATGAAATAAAAGCAGATCTCTGCTAGCGGGGAAAAAATTCCCATTACATTCCTTAAAGTTTGCTGCCTAATGAATAAACGTTTATAACGCAGCCATTTTGCAGCCATTTCCCCCCCCCAGTATTTCATGTTCCATGTAAGCCAGAGACAGAAGACTATTTTAGGAAAGCAGACATTTTTAGGAAATATTTTTACTTATTAGGTCACAAACTTATATTTGGATTTCAGAAACAATTTGCCTGGTTCTCTCTTCTCCACAACCGAAGTTTCTTTTCATTAGGTGACTAGCTGGGATTCACCCCAGAAATGTCTAACTCCAAACCCTGATGCACTTCACTGTGCCCTGCGGCATCCTCTCAAGAATGTCTGCTGAAGGCACAAATTCTCAGATCATATGTGAGGGTATTAGTAAGGTACGATTAAGAGCACGGGTTCTTGAGTCTGATTACTAGAACTGTGGCCTCAGTGAATTACCCAGTCTCTCCATGACTCAGTGACCTGTAATAATACCCACCCCCAGGGCCTACTGATGATCCAGGGAGGGACAGCACATAGAACGACACTGTTGCGTGGTAAACATTTAGCAAAGGTCAGCCCTTTTTGTGTGAATTGATAAACTCCTTCTCAAACTAATCGTAGTGATACTGCACTGGACATGACATTTTAATTAACGAGTTAACAAAAAAGAAAAATCTATGCCAGTGGTTCTCAAACTTTAGGGCTCATCAGAACCTGCTGCAAAGCTTGTGAAAACAGTTTGCTGGGCTCCACCTCAAAGTTTCTGGTTTAGTAGGTCTGTGGGGGCCAGAGAATTTGCATGTCTAACAAGCTCCCAGGTAATTCTGTGCTGCTGGGCAAGGCACCCACGCTGAGAACCACCCTGTGCTGTGCCAAATGTTGCTAGCTGAATATTTTCATCTGAACTTGAGGCCACACGGAGCTTGGAGATGAGGCCTGAGTCCTGAGTCTTGGCAAGCACACCATTTGATCTCCTGACCCTGGGCCTCTTATCTGTAAATGGGAATTGAATAATATCATCTGATTGATAGGTGTTGGAGGATTAAAATATGAAGGTATTTATAATACTTGCACATATGCAAATATGAGCTTACGTGCAAATAAGATGTGAAAAATATTTGGAGATCATAAAATTTATGCTTTTCTCACTATGGCTGAGATTTTTTTTCTTAAGGAACATAAATCTGTCACTTGTATTCCAATAGTTTTACTCAAGTAATTTCATTACGTTAAACTTGAATTCAACTAACTTTTCATAAATCAAGGGTCTCAAAATGTATTGGTTCCTTATGAACAAAGTCAGGTTTTAGGGAGATCTCACACTTTACTTCCCAGTTAGGGAATTGGGAAAATAGTAGCTTGAATTCCATATTTTGCGTAATTTAGTTTAATATTAAAAGTTTACATTTCTATGTTATTTTACACTTTTCCAAGCAGTATTAATATATAATTTTAACTTCAAAGAAATGTTTTCTAAGTCACTCATTAATTGAGTGATAAATTTAAATGATGATAAGATACAGATAATGGACTTAATCAATGTCTAAACTTTGTAGGCAACGTATTACTGGTACAAAGTGTGTATTGAATTGTCTTTCTAACCTATTCTGATATAGAGCTGCAATTTTCTGATTCTGTCTATTTATCTCTTTGCTCAAAGCTTTGTAAACCTTTGCCTTTTTGTTTCAGGTAGGAGGGCCTCCTTAATCATTTCTTATAAGGGGAGGTCTAGTGGTGATGAACTCCCTCAGCTATTGTTTAGTTGGGAAAGCTTTTATTTCTCCATTGTATCTGAAGGGTAGTTTCGCTGGATAGAGTATTCTTGGCTGATAGTTTTTGTCTTTCAGTATTGTTGAATGTATCATTCCATTCTCTCCTAGTCTGTAAGGTTTCCACTGAGAAATCTGCTGAAAGCCTGTTGGGGTTCTTTTGTAGGTTATTTTCTTCTCTCTGGCTGCCTTTAATATTTTTTCTTTGTCATTGACTTTGCCAGTTTTACTATTATATGCCTTGGATAAGATCTTTTTGCATTGATGTAATTAGGAGTTCTACTGGCTTCATGTACTTGTAAGTCCAGTTCCTTCCCCAGGTTTGGGAAGTTCTCAGCTATTATTTCTTTGAACAAAGTCCCTGCTCCCTTCTCCCTCTCGAATACCTGTAAGCCTTATATTACTTTTCCTGATTGAGTCAGATATTTCTCGAAGAATTTCTTCATTTTTTAAAAATCTTAGTTCTCTCTCCTCCTCCACCTGAATCATTTCTAGGTTTCTATCTTCAAGCTCACTGATTCTCTCCTCCATAAGGTTGGTTTTATTTTTTATGCTTTCTACATTAGTTTTTATCTCATTAGTCATGTTCTTCATATGCAGAATTTCTGTATGTGTTTTTTTAGAGCTTCATTCTCTTTGGTGAAGTACTCCTTCTGTTCATTAATTTCACTCCTGAGTTCACTGAACTGTCTTTCTGAGTTTTCTTGTAACTCATTGAGTTTCTTTATGACAGCTATTTTGAATTTTCTGTCAGTCAGATTGTAATCCTCTGTGACTTCAAGTTTGGTTTCCAGAGAGTTGTTGTTCTCTTTCTGTTCTTCCATGTTATCACAGTTCTTCATGGTGCTTGATGAGTTGATCCTCTGCTGGCACATTTGTGGTAGTAAACACCTTCCTTATTTGGGTAAGGCTTTGGTTACTTTGGTTCTGAGCTGCTTCTGGTGGTATTTGAGAGCCTGCACTTTCCACCCTTGACTGCTTCTGCCAGATGTGTCATCAGTGCCCTCCTTGTGCTGTTTGTGTCTCTGAGGTTGCTGGTGCCTTGCTGCTTTCGATGTCACTGCAGTCCCAGGTGTTGCCACTGGGGTCACCAGGCCTTGAGCACTTCTGCTCCTGCCAGGGTTGCCTGGGTCCTGTGTTCCCCCACTGGCTCTCCACGGGCTCAGGTGCTGCTGCCTTGTGCACCACCTGTGCCGCTGCTCCTGGGTTGTCTTGGGGTGCTGGCTGCACCGCTGCTGGGGGTGCTGGGTTCACAGGTGTTGCTGTTGCCATTGGGGCCCAGGTTCTTGTATGCAGCCCCACTGCTGGTAGAGCTGGTATTGGGGGTGCTGCCACTGCGGGCCGGATCTCAGGTGCTGCTGTGGTTCCTGAAGCCTCAGATCGCAGGTGCCACCTGCCACTGCTGGGGGAGGGGCAGGGGCTAAGCTACACGTGTTGTTGCTGGCCCTGTAGTCTCTGGTCACTGATGCCCACCAGTGTGCTTTGTGAGACCTCAGGTCAGGGCACTCTGCTCCTGCCAGTGAAATCCATGTTTTGGTTGCTGTCCCCACTGCTGGAGAGACCAGTGCCACTGCCAGGGGAGAAGGCGGGGGCTGGGTCGTCAGATCCACTCTGTGTCCTGAAGCCTCAGGACATGTGCACCACCGCCACCACTGGGGCAGGGGCAGGGGCCAAGCCAATGGTTGCCCCTGCAGCCCGTGGTTGTTGGCATGTGTGCCAGTGTGAGGATCCATGTTTTGGATCACTGCTGCTGAGGGGGAGCCAGGGGGCTGCTCCCCTAGTTCTTATTGCCTCCCAGAGGTCTAGTCCACCACCTTCAGATGCATAGATGCATGGATCACTCAGGTGTTCTGGTGTGCTGTGCAGGGGGTCCTTTGTGGATCACTGGATGTCTGACTGGTTGTAACTTTGAGGGGAAAGACACTCCCCCATGATGCTGAGTCACTCCCTCAATTGTCTTTCTATGCTTTGCTAATCAAACAATGAAACTATTAATATGTGGTTTTCCTAAAATAGTGGAAAATTGGAGTAGAGGATAAGAGATATTTAGATGGTTTCCCTTCATTGAATAGTTGCAAACTGTCTCAGTAGCTTTATATATCTGGCTTCAGAAAATGGAACTTAAATGAGCTTTACTAATGCTAACTTATAAAGCTACCCCTAGCCACCTCCTAGCAATTTAAGTTTTCAACTACTTCTACTAGTAAAACACCAAAAATATAATTTAAAAAATTACTTAATTTAAGTCCTGATCGCTCCCTAAATAAAGAACTTTTGTTTAATTACTTTCAAATGACAAAACAAGAGCAAGTTATCTCGATTATATCCTTGTAGGTCTCCAACGAGTTAATTAGAAAACTCTGTTTTTGTTTAAGATATTCCAGTGGGAGACAAGTTAAGAGTTTACAGCACTATAGAGTGCCATTGAAACAGAAAGCTTTCAGAACACGGCTGCTGTTTCTCCTACCAACACTCCTTCATTTGACGCACTGCACATAAGCAGAATGTACCAGGAACTGAACACGGGTTTAGGCACTGTAACTCCATTTTTATCATTTACATACGGGTAAGAAAAGAAAATGAAACACTTTCCCTAGAGACAAAGGATGACTTCATATTTTCTGAAGTTCTTGCCCTGAGGAGCTTTAAAATATTCCCTATTCCATATAGCATCCCATGCTGCTCTAACAATATGGTTTCTTGGTTATCGTTTTTGCCAACAGGAATAAGTAAGAACAGGTGCAGTGAGGCAGAGGGAGATGAAAGGGGACTTCGAAACAATCAATGGTTTGATCCTTAGGTTCCCTCTGCCTCACTGTCCTGAGTTTAGAAATCAGATAACTATTGAGACTCTATTCTGGGCCCACATGGGAATGAGACAGTTTTGGCTAATTGTGACTTTTTTGTGGTTAGTTTCACCATCACCTCCAGGTGGCTTTGGTTCTGGCTGGGTGGCAGGAGGATGAGCCATCCCTTGACTGAGTGGCCAATCCAAGAACATGAAATCTTTACTGATGATAGCCTGGTTCAGAGTTCCACTGGACTGGAAATTCTGCAATACAGAACCAACAACCTATTTTTTATGAAGGCCAATATTTACAGGGATAATAATCTTAAATATTAGTTATCTTCCAGAGCTCCCAGGAACCAGATTTCAGATGTAAAACAGTCCCAGCTGAGGAGGGCGCTGTCTTCATTCTCCATCTGAATGGACTGGGTTACTTCACCCTTCTCTTCTAGTATACGCCCTCCTTACCCTTCTACTGGTCAGGGCCCCAGACAAATACTTCTTTTGTATTGTCCTCTCACCATGCTACAATATAATCAGTTATTTCTTTCTCCCAACGACTTTTGGACTTTATAAAACATTTGAGAGAGCTCCCACGAGGGTGGGGACAGGCCTGTTCTGTTCAGCATTTTGCCTCTGGCACTGTGGTTCTCAACCTATTGGACCCAATTCTTCCTTTAAGACCAAATATTTTGTAATGCCTCATCTATTATACTTAGCTAAAATTCATAAAAATAGAGCCTGTCTACACACATCATTTCAAAGAAAAAAATCAATATAATGTGCTGCCCTAAGGGTACATATTATAGAGGAGAAATAAAAGTAATTCATAATAAAGTGACATATATGTCAGTATATACGTGACACTCAGATGTGAGTACCCTGGGAGATATTTTTATGAACGAGTCAGATGTCTGCTTCTACTTTTAATGGATAAGGTTGAGTGGGAGAGAAATGACACCATCAGAAGCTATTCTGTACAAGATCAGGGAAATGAGAGGAGAGGCCCAGGTGGACACCAGAATAAGAACAGGAGTTAAGATACAGAACAGACTATACTGACTTTATATATTGGAAAGAAGGAAATAAGTTTTATTAAATAAAGAGACATGCCAAGACGGATTTCAGATTTTGTCGTGGGGAAAATTAGGAAAGGTTACAGTCTCACAAATGAGTGCCCCTGACAGGAAAGAACGGATCAAGATAATTCTCTCTCTTTTACAAGACAGGGTTGAAATGTCGCAAAGAGCATTTATCCTATCTCAAAATTTCGTTACATGCTGAGGCGAGCGTATCCCCCCATAGGCAGTGGGGGATCGAGGCTATTGGAAAAACAAATAGTCATGACAGTGCCTTCATAGAAGCTGGGTGGTAGACCCTGATGGACAGCAGGACAGTGAGATTAAAAAGCAACAGGCCACTCCCAAATAAATAAATAATTATATAATCATCACAGAATAGATTTTGTATGATTGTGCTCCAAAAATTTTAAAAGAACATAATACAAAATATTTATAAAGCAACCTTTGTTAGTGAAATTCAATGAGATCCTTGTTTTTCATGTTTCTCTGCTAATTTAATGCTAGTTACTTTTAAGAAGGTTTACATCTCCACTTTCTATACCTTTAATTTGTTTTGTGGTTTTTGAGGTAATTCTACTGCACTAACACCATTTTAAACTAAATATGTGGTTAGAAATCATACAATACTTGGAATAAACAGGATGCACAAACTGAGTTAATTATTCAATGAATTTGAAAGTATATATTTATTCCATTTAATTTTTCCTGTACAGATTATTAAGCTTATACAGAACTTCTTGTAAAACCTTTTAGTATTATTACGTGTGAAAGTCCTATTGATTTACATGTGGTGTGGAGGGCAGTCAGGAGTCAGGGAGGATGCAGGAGAACTCTTTACGCCAGGCTGAGCAGCACATTGCAGGACAGGTCACTACAGGCCCACCATCTGCAAAACCAAAGACGCCCCCAGAGGTTCCAGACCACTCTGTGGCAGGCAGAACCACCACAATTGAGAACCACTGCTCTAATGCTGAGATGCTTTCAAAACATTTGACAACTGAAGTTGATAGTTGAACATCAGTCTTTAAGTCAGCAAAGGAAAGGGAAGGGTGAAGACGATTCCGGCAGGGGCCTGGCTCCTCTTGAACTCTCCGCACGTGGACCGTGAGCGACCTCAACTGCAAGGTCCGAAAACGCCACTCCCCGGCTCACCTCTCTTCAGCCTGGAACAGAACACTGTCCATGTGTTTTGGACATGACATGTGGGATCCCTGCAGCCAGGACCCTTTCTCTCTTCCAGGCTCTTCTCCAGACACTCCCCTCTTTCTCCTAAATGCTCGAGCACCAACCTGCTTGGAGCCGCCTGTACATCCAGGTACTTCCTGCCTCTGTGTCTCTGCATGTGTTGTCCCCTCAGTCGGCCACCTCATGTGGAGGGCTAAGTCCTGGTTGTGCTTCAAGATTCAGCTCCTAGGTCATCTCTTTGGAAAAACATCTCTCCTGGGAAGCCGAATCTGAACCACCAGACTCGACTAAAAGCTTCCCAACCCCTGTGCTTCCATCGTGCCCTGCACACATCTCTAGATACATTTTTCAGAAGAATCAGAGGGGATCTGTTTGTTGGTCTTGGTCCCACTATCGTGATCCCACAGTCCACCACTAGATTATAAGCTCTTCAAGGACATGGACCATACTTATTGATCTTCATATTTCCAGCAATAATTTGTTCAACTCCACTTTGAGTGGCACACACACACACACACACAAACACACACACATACACTCTAGCTCAGTATATCCAATATACATTTTTGTTAAGTGAATTAAAATAATTGATTCTAGTATAATTTATTTGACAAGTATCCAAAATGCTTAGTGGTACATAGTTTGACGCAGGAAAAACATCATCTTAGTTGTCTTATCTAAACTTGATTTACGTGATGCCTTTTAAATGGTTCCAAATATTTAGCTGGATTCATGAAGATACAGGCGTGTTAGAGTTGGTGCTATAGCTCAGAATTTTATCACATAATAAATTAATGTTAGGATTTGGCAATATGACAACTTAAAAATATTTCTGCCTAATAGAAAAAATTATTTAAGGGTGGGGAGACCAAACCCAATTACCCAAGCAGACCAAACAATGGTCCTGCCATTGAATTTAACTTTTAACAGAATATTAACTTTAAATAAAACTACTTTTTAAAAATAGCCTATGTATCTCTCAGGTCAATGAAATGAAATTTCCATTAAGCAGAAGTATATCAAATGTCTTTTTAGAGTTTATAACATTTATCTCAAAGAAAGAAAATAAAATCAGGCTATTTTCTCTGAGATAATATTTTCCCGGTATGACGTTCAACTTGCATTATCTATTTTCTCTACCTAGGTGCTTGTTTTTTTCTACACAGAATAAACTGAAAGAAAATTAAGCAATGAGTACTAGAAGAAAGAGGTATTCAATAATGATGAGTTCTCTGATAAACAAATTGGGAAGTTGGAAATTAAATAATCAGAAAACCTATGTTCACAAGTCTCAATGAATTAACATTTCTCAATTAAACAACTACTCAGTGTATCTATGTGCACTAGGTTTTCCCACATCTATTTACAAGTGGAACATAAACTTGGCATTTTTTAGCTGATCCTTACTCAGTACATTATAAGGAAACAAACTTTGTAAATGGTTTGAAGCTGTGATCTCATCATGTCAGCATCACAGAGATTTATTCACTTGGTGATCAAAATGATTCAAGAAACTCTCCCCAACTTCATAACAGAAGGAAAGGGAAATACTCTTTTAGAAGTTTGAGTTGATAAGTTGGTTATTTAGAGGCAAATAAATTTAGATATTAAAGTTAGAAAAGGAGAGATGAATATTTTTCATACACAAATCCAGCCAGGTATAGTATGGTTCTACAGTACCAACAAAGGTAGACTTGAGTTCAGACGAATTATCCCACGGCTCTCAATAGCTTATTAGAGGGACACAACCTTTACAATTAATTAGCATCCACTTGACACTAAAACCGGAAATACAACAATAATATCTGGTTTACTTACAGAACTTTGAGACTGTGAAGTCCCGCGAATGCTCCCTTGGGAACGGATGTCAAAGCGTTTCCAGCAAGTCGTCTGCGGGTTTCGAGAGAGAGGACAGAGAGTGAGCTCAGCTCTCTTCACGCGGAATTCATTTAGTTGTTAGAAATTCAATACAATTGTGTTCAGACCACAAATGCCAAATGCAACTGTAAAGAACCCTGTTTTGTTATATTTTGCAAAAAAATTCTGTAAATCAAAAATCAAAAAGCTGGCAAAAGAAGTGCCTAAGAAGAAATATAATAAATTATGTATTTTACAATAAATCATTTAATAACTGACACTATACATATATACATATAAAACTCTCCTTTAAAAACATTTTTATACAAAAGCTAGGCAAGGGGACAGGCAGCATGGGCGGTGGTTGTGAGGCAATGGGCATTACTACAGAAAAGATGGTGGGGAAACCTCTCTGCTGAGAGGCCACACTTGAGCCACACAGGTTTCTGTGTGATGGAAACAGGAGCACAAAAGCCCTGAGGTGGGAGTGGGCCTGGAGTGGTCCAGAAACGCAAGGAGGCCACAGCATGGCTGGAGTGGAGTGACCACGGGGGAGAATGACAGAATGTGAGGCTGGAGAGGTGTGCAGGGCCACCACGAAGGGCTTTGGAGGTCACAATAAGGACCTGGAGCAGGGAGTGATGTGAGACCTGTGTTTTAAAAGGGTTCTTATGATGGGACCCATTTAACAGGGAGAACAGACTCTGGGGGCAAGAGTGGAAGCATAGGAGGCAGCTGGAGCCATTCAAATGGGAGATGCTGGTGTTTCAAACGGGGAATGCTGGGGTTTCAAATGGGAGATGCTGGTGTTTCAAACGGGGGATGCTGGGGTTTCAAACAGGGGATGCTGGTGTTTCAAACGAGGGACGCTGGTGTTTCAAACGGAGGACGCTGGTGTTTCAAACGGGGGACGCTGGTGTTTCAAACGGGGGACGCTGGTGTTTCAAACGGGAGATGCTGGTGTTTCAAACGGGAGATGCTGGTGTTTCAAACGCGGGATGCTGGTGTTTCAAATGGGGGATGCTGGTGGTTGCAAGGGGGGATGCTGGTGTTTCAAACGGGGGACGCTGGTGTTTCAAACGGGGGATGCTGGTGTTTCAAACGGGGGATGCTGGTGTTTCAAATGGGGGATGGTGGTGTTTCAAATGGGAGATGTTGGTGGTTGCAACGGGGGACTCTGGTGTTTCAAACGGGGGATGCTGGTGTTTCAAATGGGGGATGGTGGTGTTTCAAATGGGAGATGCTGGTGGTTGCAACGGGGGATGCTGGTGTTTCAAACGGGAGATGCTGGTCGTTCCAACGGGGGATGCTGGTGTTTCAAATGGGGGATGCTGGTGTTTCAAACGGGGGATGCTGGTGTTTCAAA